TGCAGATTCTCCAAAGTGCACACTGGGACATCTGTTACCATATGTGATCACAGATCATACAGTGTATGATTAGTTTGTGTTAAAACATTGTTTTTTGTAATTCAGTTCAGTGAGTGTATGCCTGCTGGAATTAAGTCAAAGGCTGCCTCTATTGTTAAATAAACGCACCGCTCATCATTAAGAGTCCTGCAACTGGGTCCTCATTCCCCACTTCCCACGGTCTGCCGCACAGACCGTGACAACTGAAGTATTTCATAATGTCATTCAAAGTACACAATGCACACATTTTTAGTCATGTACAAAAAGATTTCCAAGCCTTGCTGCTACAAAAAGGATACAGAATTTCTTTTAATACAAAAACCCTAAAGTTTATTAGCTATAAGCACACACTGATGATTATACTCGCAAAATACAAATACTCCAGTACACCGTCTCTGTAAAGGCTCTGTGTAAACATGAAAACCACGATGAGTGACTGAGAAACCAAGTAACACTTCATGTTGTCAACCAAAAGGAAATCACACCTTAAAGTACACCACACTTTATAAATAAAACGAATAAATAAATAAATAAATAAACAAAATAAAAAATGATGCCATTCATGTTAATGACTGTGATCATATACTTAGTAGGAATGTATTTCCTGAGATCATAAATCAATAAAGTTAATTTTCCCTGCTTCTATGAAAACAGACTTCTTCTGCAAGCCTTTAGAAAAATCACAGGTTTAAGACACGCATGGATTGGCTTCACTTTTCAGACCTAGTCCTAGACTCACCTTTATATAAACATATATAATACACGATATTTATTTAAGATACACTCAGTGCAAATTTTGCTCTTAATTATTTTTTAAATTTGCTATCATTGAATCACACTTTCAGACCAACCCAGAGAATTAAAATAAGAAATCTTAATGTGTAATTATGTAAATACTGACCTATCAAAACACTTAAAACCAGGTCTTCAGTCTTGGCTGCTGGTTTGGCTGCATCTAAAATATAGAAAAGAGAAAATCCACACTAACTCAATAAAAAAGTAAATTTAGTATTTGTTTTGTTAAACGTATTACCATTAGAATATCTTCAGTTCACTTTTATCAGTTGTTTAATATTTGAATTAGTGTGTGCATCTTCACTTGCAAGTACAAACTACCTGTCGTGGCTGCCTGTTGATTGGCTGCAGAAGCTTTGGGTGTGGTGGCGATGGGGGTGTGGCCCGGTGGGCCAGAGGCCGGGCTAAGCCCGTTTTCTAGTGGAGCTGATTTCAGATCAGTCTTACGCTCTGCACAGCTTTCAGTCTCCTCCTGGAAATCAATACCAAGACCTTTTACAGCCA